GAAACTTATAATATTAATTTGATGCCCGCCCAAATGATCTCGAAATTTGACATTTCTATGAGCCTAATATCACTCAATTATGATATCATTAAGATACTTAAATGCTAAATAAACACTTTCTAATCAAGGGAATCAATATGGACCATATGATGAAATATTTTAGATTCTAGTTCAAATTACCAAAATGTTCATCCCAAAAAGCCTATAAATTGATCATCATTCTCCACATATGGGTGGAAAAAGAGATAGAACAAGATATCTCTCTTGTATTTTCTAGCTATCGTCACCAAAGGCCACCACCAATTATTTCTATTGACAATTACCACCGTCGCTGGCAAATATCACTATCAATCATTGCCATCATGGCGAGAGCCTAAATAAATACATTACTAAATAGGAATTTAAATTATGACAGGAACAATGTCTGATTTAAGACATTATAATAAGGCATTTAAAACCACATAAACAAGATAATTTGATGAAGTGTAGTTTTATAGTTCTCAGATTGTAAACCAAGTAGCTTTCTACAGCCATGAACTCTTTTTTTGCAAAAAAAATTGTGAATTAGAAACCCTAAAATGCACCTTTTCAGTTGTAGGTTTTCTTACATCAGTTACAGACTGTTTAAACCTTTACTCTAGAAACCCCTATGTACAGATTCAAAACCTCCCTTGAACGAACTTTTAAAAACCCTAAAAGACCCACCCTGCAGCGCATCGGCGATTACACAGTCTTTTGTCCAGTAAGCAACTTCATTATTGTTGCATCCTAGAAAATTTGCGGCAGTAGAGAAATATAAAGATTAATGCCTTAGCTTTGTACGAAGATCCAGAACACAAGCAGATGAAAGAGATGAGGGTGTAGCGTTCATAAGAGACACCAGAGTTTTTACGTGGAAACCCCTGAAAAGGGGGAAAAACCATGGGGCCTGGCCCAGTCTAAATGAATCCATTAGTGTTTGCAGCCCATTACAAATGAGGCCCTTCCTTAAGAGGAAGGTCTTAGCTTGATGTGGCAAGTATACATCTTACATAGTATATTACACGATGAAAGTTAGAAGAATTAGTGTTGGCATGTTATTTGGGGCGATAAAACCATAGTTGGCGAGCGATATAGGTCAGAAGGACCGTTATGTGGCGACGGAGGTCGAGAGGATCGTAGTTGAAGGGTGACGGGGGTCAGAAGGACCATTTGTCGGAAGATGATGGAGTTCAGAAGGATCGGGCGATGAAGGTCAAAAGGACTGTAGTAGGCGCGACGGAGATCCTAAAGATTGTAATCAGCATGCAACGGAGGTCGGGATGACCGTAATCGAATGGCAGTGGTTGGGAGGACTGTAGTTGGCAGAGTGACAGAAGTCTTGCGGTGTTCAGCAAATTGGCGGATGTCCGCTGGTGGCCTAAAAGAACTCCGGCTGTGGTCGGAAAGAATTCCAGCAATGATCGGTGGATGAGCAGAAGTACGGCGATGGTTGGCGGACTGGCAGAAGTCCGGCGATGGTCGGCTGACTGGCAGAAGTTCGGAGGTGGTCTGCTGACTGGATGAACTCTAATGGTGGTTGGCGGACTGGTAGAAGTCCGTCAGTGGTTGGAGAATTGGTGGAAGTCCGGCGTCGGTAGACAGACTGGCAGAAGTCTGTCGGTGGGCAACGGTTTGGCTGAAGTCCAGCTGCGGTCGTCGAACTGGTGGAACTCCGGCGGCGGTCGTCGAACTGGTGGAAGTCCGGCGGTGGCCGACGAACTGGCGGAAGTTCGGCGGTGGTCGATTGACTAGCTGAAGTCCGTCGGTGGTCGGGAAGAACTCCGGCAGTGGTCGGCGGGAAATCCGGCAATGGTTGAGAGGAATACTGGCGGTGGTTGGCAGGAACCCCGGTGGTGGTCAGAGGGAACTCGGCGGTGGTCGGCAGGAACTCCCGTGGAAGTCCGGTGATGGTCGGCGGCAAGAGAGCTCCCAAATTCCTCCCTTCCTTCTCCTCTTTCTCCCCCTTCTCATGAGAAGAGTGTCACGACCCGACCCGAGACGGATCCCGCCCGCACCGGGCCGCGACCAGCCAAACAAACAGACAGACCAGGATTTGGCTTTGGAATTTGCTTCGAAACTGATTCTTCCAAATATTTCAACTCAAAACAGACACACATAGCTACTATGAAACATCAAATGCAGCGGAACAAATCATCCATATTTTTCTTTTCCTCAAAACAATCATCTACAAATACAGTACATGGCTGACAGAAAGAACAAAGAAGAAAAGCCATGACTGTACAAAAATAAAAAAGTACAAAATACCTATAACTGATCAGACTCTGAACTCTAGTCCAAGACCTCCTTCCCTTTGCCAGAATCTGAAAACCACGCAGAAAACAAGGGTGAGCTCAACAGCTCAGCAAAGCGACAAACCTCCAATCAAAACTTTCAGAATCCAAAACCAAACACTTCAAACCAAATCCGTACAGAAACCAGAACAGAATCAGACAGATATCAAAATCGTGCAGATCAGAACGAAACAGATCAAATCAGAACATATCTAAACGGAACAGATCAGACAGAACTGTACGGAAACAGAAGTCATATCAAATCAGATATCAGATAGTATTGTAATTAATAGCTAAATTCCCTGACACTGACAGAATCTCTACGGATTCTGGCCCCTTATGCCTCCCTTTGTGCTCACGGCACCAGAACAGATGTGCTTATAGCACCAGAACAGAATTCATCGGATCCGGAACAGAACAGATATCAGATTTCAGATTGAGCTCATTTCAGATTTCCCAGACACTAACTGAATCTCTAGGATACAGGCCCCATATAACTCCCTTTATATAGCATATACAGATAGCATATCAATTCAGAAGAAATCCGGACGAATTCAGAAATCAGACAAAAATCGGGCAGCACAACGGCTGTATACGGAATTTACACAATTTTCCTGAAAAATCACAGAATACCAAATTTGCACAGAATATAGATAACAACATTGCAAGACTTTAATTCTACTACCACAACATTTTTAGACATCGTAGAAAAATACAGTCGAAATAAAACACCGCCGAATTCAAAATACCCGGACAAAAATCTCCAGAAAATAACCAAAATGTGCACACTCGGCACGTCAATAACTGCGGAAAATCCGCGTAAAAACTGAACCAGACGGGAAATACGGACGAAATCACTAACAAAAATTAATTCCGGATAGATATACCGTCAAACACGGACGGTTCTGAAAATTGAGAAAGGCGGATTGTGCCTTACTTGCGTACAACAATATCTTCAACAGTCTCGTTGAATGAAAACGGACCCGCGTCTTCCGAAATCAACTTTTCCTTTCTTTTCTTTTTCTCTTTCCTCGGATTGTGCCTTACCTTGCGTAATCCTCAGATCGCGGACCGACATCACCTCGATCGTCCTGGACGATCAGACCAAAAACCCATCGTCCAGGCCGATTCCCTGGACGATCCTCAGGACGATAATTAATTCTGAAAAAGTCATGCTCTTTGTCTTTTGCACTGAACTGATCGGCCTGGGACGATGCCCTATCGGCCAGGCCGATCCTGGGAGGAAAATCACCTGGAGCAATCTGGCAAATTCTGGAGCAAACCTTCAACTGATCGTCCCAGGACGATCCCAGATGTCCTGGACGTCCTGGAGCAGAAATAGAACTTCACAAAGAGTGGGGGTATTTATAGTTTTTTGAGAGTGCATGACTTGTAAATATATGAAGGATCAAGGGTAAGTTGGGAGTGGTTGGATGGACGGTCGATGTTGAATCCTTTGATCATGAACCGTTTGATGGACATTTGAATGTCTTAGTGATGTCGGAATTCAGTGATCTTGGGCTCGTTGGATTCGTCTCATTGAGCCGCTCGATTTGACTATAAGCTTGTTATGTTTGGAAACTGTTTGGTAATCCAAATTGTGGTTTGAACCTTCCAACAGCGCTTCGGGTCCTTGATTTGGACTCATTTGGGCTCGGATTGAGTCGATTTTGGTGTCGTTGGGTCTGTGTTTCCGAGACGCTCAGTTCGACTGTAAGTTTGCTGAAATTGGAATTCATATGATCTTCAATTTAATTTCTGAATTTCCAACTTGATTTTGCCTCAAGATTCGTGTTCAATCAAGGTAATTTTTTGATGGTATATCAATTATAGTTACTGCGATTCAGCAGGCTTTTGTGCCTTCTTCCATTGCGGAGGGAAGGGGGGGGCACGTGCCCCCTAAAAAATTTTGGGAACTCCATCTTATGCCTCTCTCTCTCTCTCTCTCTCTCTCTCTCTCTCTCTCTCTCTCTCTCTCTCTCTCTCTCTTGTTGTTTTATGCTATATTACTTTTATAAATATTATATAATTAGAATTTGATAAAAATTAAATATGATTATCATCTTAATAATAAAACAATTAGACAGTCTAATTGTTTTATTATTAAGATGATAATCATATTTAATTTTTATCAAATTCTAATTATATAATATTTATAAAAGTAATATAACACAAAATTATATGATATTTTTATCAAATTAAAAAAAAAAATCATAGTAGCACTCATTATGTATAAAAGTACAATATTAAAAGTTGCTTGGGACAACTTTCTAACTGTTTTATTATTAAGACAATAATCATATTTATTGGGATATTTTGCTACTATTTTCTAGCTATTTTTCAAATGTTTATTTATAGAGGAAGTTTTTTTACTATCAAAATAACAAAATTAATTTGTCTATGCTACTAAAGTTTTTTCCTGTAAGTTGTTTATTATTTTATATTTAATATTCTACCTTCCTAAATAATAATTTGAAGAAAAAAAATTTAAAACTTCCTATGTTGATCCCAAGCTTAGATGTAAAAAGTTGAGAGAAAATTTTAAAAAATTAATTTAGGCCCCCCCTAAATACATTTTCTGGCTCCGCCACTGCCTTCTTCTGTGAAATCTGAAGTTGTATTAGATGATTCACTGTTCAAGAATCATCCAAATTGGTCTATTTTTCTTGTCATTTTATCCTTGTACAGATGCGCATGCCCGGCATCCATCGCTGCCACCCTCTGCCCCACCACCTTAGCAAGTTTCTGTAAAAAAAAGATTAATTCTTGGTTGCAGAAGTTGTATAGACCGAGAGAATTTCAATGGAGGACAGGCAAGCACCAGGGAAGGCTTTGGTGGTCGGCGGCAGCATAGCAGGTCTATCTTGTGCCCATTCCTTGATTGCCGCAGGTTGGGAGGTGAGAGTGATAGAGAAATCCTTATCTCCACCTTCCAGTAGTCCAACAGGAGCAGGTCTCAGCCTGGACCCTCAGGCTAGGGAGATTGTCAGCTCTTGGTTATCAGATCCAACCATCCTCCATGATTCCTCCTTGCCTCTTGACATAGAACTGGTTCCTATCTTTGCCTTGCCTTTTCATGAATTGGTCACTAGAGTTGTCAAATCTCTCTTCATCTTCCTTGATCTTTTCACGCAGCTGCAGTTCGTGGATGGTAAGAAGGATAGGAAGATTGTTGCAAGAGATGATAATTTCAACTACAGATGCTTCCACTGGACAGATCTGCACTCACTTTTATACAAAGCTTTGCCCCCAGATACAGTTCTGTGGGATCATCACTTTCTCTCTCTAATCATACCGGAAAACAAAGCTTCTGTTCGGATCAAAGTTAAAATCCCTCACACTGACGAGATGAAGGAATTTTCTGGTGACTTATTAATTGCTGCTGATGGGAGCATGTCCCTTATTCAACGCCATTTTCTTCCTGGTCACAAGCTAAGGTCAGGACTCGCAATTTTGAACTACTTTCTTCTTTTATGAATCAAGTTTTCTTTTACTCTACTTGAACAGGTATTCTGGTTACTCAGCATGGAGAGGAGTGTATGATTTCTCAGAAGATATTAGCTCAGACACCATTGATTCCATTCGTAGTGCTTATCCTGAACTTGGAAAATGCTTGTATTTTGATCTGGTTTATGGAAACCATTGCGTTCTTTTTGAGCTCATAAACAAGCGGCTCAACTGGATATGGTACTTCGACGCACAAGAGCCAGACATCAAGGCAAGCTACTTAACTAACTCTGAGTAAGTTCTTATATAGTGAAACAAAGATGGTAGGATTCAGATGAAGGGTAATTGAATATGTTATGCAGGGAAGATCTGTGACCATGAAAGTGAACCAGGAGATGATTGAGAAGATGCACACAGATGCTCAAAGAATGTGGAGCTCTGAATTGGCTCAGCTTATGAGAAAAACAAAAGAGCCTTTCATCAATGTAATATATGACAGTGATCCTCTCCCTCAGTTATTCTGGGATAATGTGGTGTTGGTAGGCGATGCAGCTCACCCTACAACACCTCACTGCTCCAGAAGCACAAACATGGCTGTTCTTGATGCTGAGGTCTTAGGCCTCTGTGTGAAGAAGTGGGGAGCGGGGAATTTGGGCCTAGCATTGCAGGAATATCAGTCTATTCGATATCCAGTGATCTCAAGGCAAGTTCTGCACTCGAGACATGCCGGACGCCTCAAGCAAGGGCTTCCTCTTCAAGATAACACTGCTTTCAATCCAAAAGAAGCTAGCAAAGAGGAGGCTGCTGGGATTCTGCATAAAAGCTTGCCATTCTTTTATAAAGCTCCTGTGTCCATGGACCAGTAAGTTTGGTCTTTTCTATCTTCTATGCATTACAAAATCTTGTTCAGATTGATTGTAGTTTTTAAGCACAATGACACTTGTGGCCATGTGGGTATGAAGAAGCAGAGGTGATTGGTGATAAGTAGGCTAAGCCCACTACGCCGCCGCCCTGCTTCTGCGCCCACTTCATCCGCGTTTTTCAAAAGTTGTCTCCATGTTCTCCTGCCAAGTCAGATATCTGTAAGTAACGAACCGGGTTACTATGGTAATTCACTCATGTACATCCTTTCTATATAGCACAGTGTAATACAACTCAGTGGATATGAATGAAAGCCATGAGTTACTGTTCATCGTCTTCTTCCCTCAGTCTTTTCTGTTCTGTCTTCCGTTTGTTGAGCTTCATCAATTGGCACAACTAATTTACGTACTTACACATCTTGATAAAAACTTGGGCCTTCTCCAACATAACTCCAAATGCATGAATGGCATCGCTCGCGAGCTTCAGTCGAACGGCAGAACTTCCGGTATTTGGTTGCGGGTGAACCGTGCGACGTCAATATTGGCGTTTTATTGTTCACCTGCGTTATTTTTCTGTCTCTACCGGATTTGTCGAAGAAACGCGTGAAGGAGAAAGACGGTTATTTGGGCGCAAAATGGAATTCGATTGGAGATGAATAATGCCATTTTTTTCTTGCACTCTATTTTGGAGTGAAAAATGAATTTTCAGTTGGAGATGTCCTTAGAAACATAGTTGTAGCTAGAAGTTCCAGAGAGCAAAATAGCTAAAAGCACCATGAATGACAAGCCAATGTGCTGCTGGGTGTTGTCATCCGCTGGCTGTAGATGAGTGCTCAGGGAATTCGAAGAGATTTCACCCATAGGAAGAAAGATCAAAGATGTTTTAATTGTAGCTCGATTCGGAGAAATTACTTGAAAGTACTTTATATTGCTGCTCTTTGTGGAACTCTATCTCTATTCCACAGTCCATTTGGAGCTTCTCCAGCCGAACTGCAGTCGCTTGTATGGAGTGGCTTTTTGCTCCAATGGATCGCCAAAAAATACGTCAATGGCATGCGGATGAATAGACTGTTCCAAAAAAAATTGCTCTTTTTTTTTCGCTTGGCGGGAAAGGAGAGACAAGAAAGCACAGGAAAGAAGAGAAATGGAATTCCATTGGAGATGAATTACGGCATTTTGAAGTTTTCCGCCATTATAGAGTGAAAAATGGAGTTTTCGGTTGGAGATGCCCTATGGTCTGTTTGGGAAAGCTTTTACGCCATTTTTAATAACATTGGGAACTGAGAATTCAAATACAGAAATTTTGATTTTGTCTCACTGTTTGGAGCAAAACTCTGATTTTTTATTTAAATTGTACTGAGTTACATAATGGATTCGTAATTTGAGCATCTAAAGCTTTCATAAATCACTGTAAGAGTAAATTTGCATAAAAATTTGTAATAAAAAGCCTAGCTAATTTACAATCATTTGATTACATGTTGAGTTATACAATCAATTTGAGCATCTACTCCTAATATTGACGCAAGCCATATTAAAAAAAAAAAAAGATTATTCTTGTGCATTAAACTTTCCCTCATTATCGATCTTCTCCAAAGAGGCTTCTAAAAGAAGAAAACCTTCAGAGGAAGGTTGTTTTATTTTGGTTCCATTATCCTTAAGATGTATAATCGCATTTCTTTAACTTTCACATTCATTTACAAATTTACATTTGAAAAGGAAAAAACTCTATATACATCTGTAAGGTTAGTCAAAACAGTTTATAACAATTAAAATGTTTATGAAATTGAAGAAGATGTGCCCCTTTAATGGAATACATGTAATAAAAAAGATTCTTATTTGAAAAATGTCTGAAATATGGATCCAGCAGGTAGTGCTGCGATGATGTGTTAGCAATTACAACGACGTAGTAGTGCTATGGCGTCATGATTTGTCGTCGTGGCACAAAAGGCTCTGTTCTACAATAACTTTGGTGCTGGCATGCACCGTAGTGGTACTAGGTCTTGTTCGAAGTGACGCCATGCACCAAAAATGATTTTTAATATTTTTAATGTAAATATCTTTGCCACCACACCATCCCTCTCCTCCCTCGTTTCATTTCTTGTAGAGGAAAGAGCTGAGAAATAGAAGTGAAGGGAGAGAGAAGAAGAAGAAGAAGAAGAGAGATAAAGAGATTAGGCACCGGCATGTCCATATTGGGCACTCCAGGGGTGTCAATGATAGTGCCGCGGCGACATAGTGTCTGACGCAACATCGTTTATGATACTTAGAATTTTATGTCTTTCATGTATTTTTTCTGCACAATACAATTAAAACAACACAATTTTACTAAAAATTTAACATTTAAAATATAACATTATTTACACTCATAAATATAAGGGGTCAGAATCTTTTAAGATTCTATCTATGTTAGGAAATATTATGGTGCCTATAAGGCATATTCTAATGATTATACAACCATGTTCTATTGGCTATAAGTCATGATTTGATGCCTACGGACATGTTCTGATACTATAAGCATAAAAAGAACTCATAAGATGCCATAATCATTTAAGATTATATTTGAAATCAGGATATGTAATATGACTTGCTTAGTGATATAAACTATTATATAATATAAATTTCAGTTTATTTTTGCTCAGTATTGTTATTTAAATAATTAGATAACCACTATGTACTTATTACCATTTTCAGTACAGTGATTTGTCAGACTGCAGCAATATCAACATCAAGCCTTTATCCCACTATGTGGGGTCAGCTACATGAATCATTTATCTACTTTTTGCCATTAAAAGTTAAATTTAATTGCTTTTAAATATATAACAAAATATTTAATAATTTTTTTAAAGAAAATTTAGATTGGTTTGTGTGGCCCGCCGAGCTGGTTGAGCTCACTGTAATTTTGCTTTGGTTTTCAGGAACTGGGAAAGGGAATGATCTGGTTGATTAGTAGTTCAGTATCAAATCTGACTTGATAGGTATTTCTCTATTTTGATTTTTGTACAATCATGACTAGTTTTTGCATTAAAAAAATCTTATGGATAAGTTTATTTATAGTACTTTGAATGTTTTTAGCTATTATGTAATCTATAATATATTTAAAATAAAATTTGAAAGAGATTTTGAAACATTTTAAAACTAGGTATTTGGATTTGTGAGTCAAAGCTCAACACGATAAGACATGTCCTGACCGGGTTGTGTTGTGACACATGTATTGATTTTTATATAACATATAATTGATAAGATGGACAAGACCAATGACATTGGCACATGTATGTTCATGGTCTATAGTACTGATTTATTTATTACCGATGTATTCAAGTTCTTGCGCATGTTGTTGGTTTATAGAATTAATCGTGATGATTTTTACTTTTCGTTGTTTAACATATTAGATTTTACTTGTGATGACTGATCATTGATGATATTGAATGTTATTGATTATATTGATTGAGATGAGCATACATATTAATTCATTAAATCTTGTATTGAAAGTTTTAATGAGTTTTTGGTTTCTGCTAAGCTTTGTAACTCATTATGTGGTTTTATTAATTTTAGGTCAGGGAATGGGCTACGAATTTGTGGAGAGACAGATTGATATATTCAAAATTTTTCTTTTATTTTATATTTTTTATTCTTTTTGTTCTCAAGAGCTATTGATAGATTAATGAATGTTAGTGATCTCTGACTATTATAAATATGATTTTTGCGAATGAGTATAGTGAAATATTTCAATGTGCATGATATTTAATTATTTTTATTAGATATATTGATTTATATATATGATTTAAGAGATAATATATTATATATAATTAAAAGTATATATTATAAAAAAATTATCTTAATATTAAATATATTAAAATATCATGACACTTTTTTTTAGATGAAAGCTTCCAAGAGCATCCGATCAAGGAGAAAATCTTGCGTGTAGAGTCCGGATGGGAAAATAGTCCAAATTTGCTTAGTTTTTGTTGAATATTTGCTGAGTATATGTAAATACTCATCAAATACTAATTAAATATTCAGAACATGAGTAAATACTTAATAAATAATCAGCAAATACTCATAAAATTTGTGAACATATTCAACAAATACTCATAACTAAATATTTATTAAATAATTATAAATACTCATCAAATAAGAACTATTCTCTTATATGGGGCAAATTATTAGGTCCGGTCACCGAACCTAAAAATAGGTCCGGACACAAATAAAATATTATTTTAAGTCAAGCGTGTTAAAAGCACAGTCAAAGCGTAGGTAAAGCGCACCTAAAACACGGTTAAATCGTAGTCAAAGCGCAGTCCATGTAACAAATTTTTATTGGATGTTCGGACCTAATAATTTACCCTTGTATGAAAATTATTAGGTGCAGTGTACGGACGGGGAGAACCGTTCGCACAAGCACTGTATACCTAGCGGTACCCGCACTCGATACAACTGAGTACCATTATGTACCCAATACTTGTGCTAAAAATGCGCACTATGCAACTAATAATTTTTTATAACCAAGAGGGAGAATAGTACGAATTTCTCAAGAGGTCTGCTAGGACAAAACAAACGTGACCAACGGCTCCCAAATCACCCTATCAACCTATCGAACCCAAATGACGGTAGGTAAGAGTGCGGGCCCGGCGGACCCGCCACTCCACCAACTCCACCAAACTCATCCTTCCATCAATGCTCTATTCACCCGTTTTTCTTTCCCTCAATTTGACCTCCAACCAAGTAATAACACGTGTCATTACATCCATCTGGCAAACGGTGGATGCGATGCCGTTATCCTTAAACTACCAAAAAGTAGGTGGGTGTAAGGGAAAGTGAAATTCCTCCTTCCCAACTATTATATCTTACCGAATCCCTACTATAACCCTAATATAACCCTAAGAAGAGCGAAGCAATCGCTGCCGCCGTCGCCGGAGCAGAAGAAGATGGGCTCTGACCCTTCGCCGCGTTACTTCTGGGGCGAGTCCCCCGAACCCGACGAGTATTACGCCTCCCAAAATGTACGAAACCAGCAATCCTACTTCTCCACTCCTCACGGCCGCCTCTTCACCCAATCCTTCTTCCCCATCGACCCCTCATCGGGCGAACTTGTCCCTGTCAAGGCGTCCGTCTTTATGACCCACGGATACGCCTCCGATTCGGCCTGGCTCTTCCAAAAAATAGCCATCTCCTTCGCTCAATGGGGCTACGCCGTCTTCTGCGCTGATCTCCTGGGACACGGCCGATCCGACGGCTTACGATGCTACCTTGGAGATCTCGACTCAGTCGCGGCTGCGCCCCTCTCCTTCTTCTCCTCCGTCCGCCGGCGACCGGATTTCTCTTCACTTCCCGCCTTCCTCTTCGGCGAATCCATGGGCGGCCTGGTAACCCTCTTAATCTATTTCAAGTCTATCGATGCCGATTTATGGTCCGGCATCATCCTGTCCGCTCCCCTCATCCAGATCCCAGAAGAAATGCAACCATCTCGGATCCGTCTCTTCATGTTCGGCCTCCTGTTTGGGCTTGCCGACACATGGGAGGCGATGCCGGAGAAGAATATGGTAGGGAAAGCGATTAAGGATCCTGATCGGCTGCGGGTTATTGCGGCGAATCCGAGGAGGTATAGAGGGAAGCCGAGGGTGGGGACGATGAGGGAACTTTTGAGGGTGACGGAGATGGTGCAGAGGAGGCTTGGGGAGATCAGGGCTCCGTTTCTGGCGGTGCATGGGACAGATGATGGAGTGACGGCGCCGGATGGGACGAAGAAGTTGTATGAGAAGGCGGCTAGTGAGGATAAGGAGATGTTGATTTATGAGGGGATGTATCATTCTTTGATACAGGGGGAGCCGGAGGAGAATAGTGCAAGGGTTCTTCGGGATATGCGGGGGTGGATTGAGGAGAGAACCCGGCGGTACGGCGGCGGTGCCGCCGGAGTTGTACCCAGCGGTCAGATGGAGGGGAACGGCGACATAATTGACGGGGAATAATATGTGAACATGAGGCATTGACCTTGATGAAGGGCAACGTGTTTGCGATTATATGTAAGCATTTTATTTTTTTTTGGTTGTGGAGGCCCCATTTAAAATTCTGGATCGTTTATTTTCGAGAGGTTGAGTGTGCAAATATAATTCTCACACGTATTTATTTGAATAAAAATCTTTAAGGTGGAACTGAAACTAAAAATCAAATGGATACTTTTTAGTTTAATTAATAGTTGGAAATTGGAATAAGTATAAATTGCATCTTTGCCTGAAAATTTAAATAAGAGCAAATATATGGAATAATTTACGCATTTAAAATACGCGGTTTGACGCTTATATGTCATCAAAAAAATTATCTGGAACAAACAATAATTTCGATGCAAATATAAATTAGAATTTTTCAAAATTAAATTTGGAACCAGCAGAGCTCCAATTTCAGCAAATTTATAGTCAAATTGAATTTCTCGAAGAGACGAATCTAACGACATCAAAACTAGTCTAATACAAACTCCAATGAATCCAAATCGAGGGCTTGAAGCCTATTTAGAAGCTTCAGTACATTAATTGGATAACAAAATGGTATCCAGGTTGAATTGAGCTGCTCGACGAGGCGAATCCAACGAGCCCAATATTGCTGAATTCTAACATCAAGACACCTAAATGTGCTATTGAAATGATCTGTGATCGAGCATCGACCGTCCATTGAAACACTTCCAACGTGCCCTTGATTTTGTCCATATTCATTAGTCATACCACTCCAAAAAAAAACTATAAATATGCCTCTCATTCTTTACAAAGAGAGAGGAGGGATGAATGAGAGAAGAGCTTTGAATTTTGAAGAATCTTGGACTTCACCCTGGCACAACTTCTAATGAATCTACGTTACTAGGTTGTCGTTGATGAACCTTTGTTCGATAATGGCCATCTAACCTCCATATGGAATTCATTAAAGAGCTTTCCTTTGTTACCGATTATAGTCCTTCCGACCATCAATGCCAGACTACAATCCACTCCGACAATCGTCGCCCGCCGATTATGGTCCCCTTCGACCAATGTCGCTTGTTGACTATGGTCCCTCAAACTGCCATTTCTTGTCAACTTTGGTCCATCTGACCATCGTTTCCATCCAATTACGATCCCTTCGAGCTCCGACGCCCATCGACCACGCTCCCTCCGACCTCTGTCACCCGCCGACTATGGTTCCTCCAACCATTGTTGCCTAGCAATTACAGTCCCTCCGACCTCCGTACCCCATTGACTACGATCTCTATGACCACAGCTGCTTGTCAACTACAATCCCTCCGACCTTCATCACCTGCTAACAACGGTCCCTCCATCCACCGTTGCCCGCCTAATACCTCCCTTTGATCACTATTGCCCGCCAACTATTGTCCCTACGACCTCAGTCTTCAGTCGACTACAATCCCTCCTACCATCGTCGCCCGTGAACTACGGCCCCTCCGACCTCCGTCACCCACCAACTACAGTTCCTCAGACCATCATCGCCGGCTAACTATGGTCCGCTTTAACCACCATTTCTTTTCGACTACGGTCCATCTGACCTCCGTTGCATAGAGACTATAGTCCCTCAAACCACCATTGCCTATCGACTATGATCCACTTTGACCACCATCACCTGCTGATTATAGTACATCTGACTACCGTCGCCCGCCGACTACGATTTTTCTGACCTCCATCGCACACTAACTACGATCCCTCTAACTACTATTACATGCTGACTACGATCCATTTAACCTTCGTTGCATGTTGATCATGGTCCTTCTGACCACTATCATCCCCCTGATTATGGTCCCTTTGACCTCACCCGTCGACTACAACTACAGTCCTTATGTCCATTGTCGCTCACCAACTATGGTCCATCCGACTACCTTCACGCATTAACTACAGTTTTACTGACCAAATAGACATGTCAACGTTTTTATAAGAATAATTATCATGTAATAAGCTCTATACAATATATATTTGCTACATTGAGTCAACATCCTCCTCTGAGAAGGGGTATTATTTGTAATCAACCATCAATACTATTTGATTCATTTAAACTGGGTTAGACCTCTTGATTTTTACACTTTTTAGGATTTTCCTCATAAAAATATTGGAGTATCTTATTTCTTTCACACCCCTCTCTCTCTATGTTATTTGTGTGTGCTGGATTTTTATTCAAAGCTAGTATATTAACCTTTTTTTTATCTATGCTGTCCCAAGTATTCCAGGATGCAAAAGACATGCTCTGAATGTGCCAAATTTGCTCACAGAGAGAAAGAGAGGGAGAGAGAGAGAGGGGTTAAAATCTTAAAGAAATATTTCAAAGTACACTTTTTGTACATAGCTCTCTTTGGCCTATTCGTTGAGAGCTAAGGCTTCTAATTAAGAGGTCTAGGGTTCGAGTTTATATGTATGCGTTGTGTGTGTGTGAGTTTGCCTTAAATGACCTAAATGTCCCCAAAAAAGTACACTTTTTGTAAAAAAATTTCCAACGTTGGAGATAAAATTGTTAATATAAAATTATAAAATCTTATAATTACCTAAAAAAATATTGTTATAACTTTTTTATATAAAAAGTTAAAATTATAAAGATTTATAATATATTTCATAGATAAATATTCCAATTAATTTTAATACCATACAGAAATATATATTATTCTTAAATTTTTAAAAATTATGCATTTTAAATTTTAATAAGTAAATTATTGTAAAAGTTAAGGGTAAAATAGTCAATATTTTAATAGTCATAATTTCAACTTTTATAAAAAAAATATAACAATATTTTTTTTTTGCATAATTATAAGATTTTATAGCTTTATTTAAATTAAAAGTTTCTCTCAAACTGTTGGATTATTTTCTTTTTACAGTTTAAAATATTCCTTTAACCTCATTGGGCTCTACAGCGTACACGTCTCTTTCTCTCCCCATAGCGTATTCACATGCTTCAAATTATTTCACGCATTCAAAAAATATGCCAAGCTATTTGACGCATTCAAAAAATGTGAAAAATTGCTCGACATATTTGCTCTTTTTAAAATTTTCAGACTTCAATGCTCCTTTTGCTAATTCTACTTATCGAGTCAATTCTTTTAAAATTTAGCCTAATCAAATTAGGAGATGAGAGGGAAAAAAACTTTGGATTTGAATTTGTCTCAATTTTTAGTTTACATGTGATTCAGTTAAAAACGTGATTATGATTATTGCGTATCTGAATATTTGTGATGATAGAGAGAGAGTTTTTTTTTTTTGGTATTTATATAAAGATTCAACACATACACAGATAAAAGAGAAGTGTAAGAATTACATGAGATATTAGAATTTTTTATGTGGATAGTTCCCGAAAGTAAAAAAATCATAGGGCTTAGGTCAGTTAAAATGATTCCGTTAATGTTTGTCATTGTTTATAAATGATGTCCTTTATTATAGGAAATCATTGCTTCAATATAATAAACATACATTATATAGAATATATTAAGTGAATGGAATTGGAAGAATCTTGTGCAAAAGACCTATCTTTAATAGATTGTTTGGTTGTTTGTTTTGTTGTGCTTTTTTTTTTTTCTGAAAGAGGAGGCCAGAACAAGATATTGAGCATGAATACTAGTGGTGATGTAAAGATTCTAAGTTGACGTTGATGGCTTGCATTGGTCTAGTAGAGGATGGCGTGTCTTGTAATATTAGTAATGATAGGTGCTGAAGACAACAGTTGTCAGTGTAGCATGATAACAACTTTCATAAGATCATATTACAAAGGATCTTAGTCAAGACATAATGTTTGGATGATCGTAGTCGAGTGATAGAGGTCATCTTAGTCTAGTGATAGATGTTAGAGAATTATAAACGGGCAATGGAGGTTAGAGAATTATCGTCGAGTGATGGAGGTCAGAGGATTGTAGCCAAACAATGGAGGTTATACGACCATAGATGGGTGACAGTGTGATGGTGCTTGGAGATCTATAGTCAAATGATTATGCTTAGCAGTATGGTGGTCGAAGGATCATATTCGAGCGAAGATGGTCAGAGGATGGTAATTGGGCAACAATGTTTGAAATTCGATTATCGAGCAATTGTGATACAAGGATCGTAGTTACGTGACCGTAGTCAAAGGAATATAATTGGGTGATGGTAGTTGAAGAATGAAGGATCATAGTGAGGCCATGGTGTTCAAAGGAGCCATTAAGGCGATGGTGGTCAAATGAGTATAGTTAAGTAATGGTGGTTGTAGGACCTTAATTAGGTGATGACAATTGAATATTGGTAGTTGGATGACTATGATTAGAGGACTAGAGTGAGGCGGCGGTGGTCTGATAACCATAGTAGGGTGATAATGTTAGGAGGGCCATAGTCAGGCGACAATGATCAGAGGATCGTAGTTGGGTGACTATAGTCAGAGGATCGTAACTGGACGACAAATACTAGAGGTTGGTAATCAGGTGATGGATGTTAGAAGAATATATTCAAGCGATTGTGGTTGGAGGATAATAGTCGAGTTATGGTTTTTAGAAGTGTAATAACCAATGAAACATGACACATTTATTTTTGTTTTGACTCGATCTGATAAGGGTAACCCTTTGAAAATTTTTTGCATTTACATATTTTGAATGTTTTTGAATGTGAATGTCTGAATATGTTTTGAGGCGGATTCTTGGAGTTCGTATACTTGAATGAAAATCTAAAATTATTCGTAGGAGCGCCATTGAGCTCTATTTATTTTTATCAAAATAATTCAAAGTTGCGACGTTGTGGCACAACAAGGTCAAGCACGGCGATGTCAAACTTGAATCTCATAAAAAAATATTATTTCCACTTTATTTTTAGTTTTATCAAAATCATTTCTCCCTTAAGTAGCCAGCTAAGGAGAGGGAGAGAGAAGGATTTTAGAGAGAGAAAGTTGGGTTTTGTCAATTCTAATACATTTATGATGTTAGCCTATTTCTGAAAGTTGTGTGGATCAAGGTAGGTTATGTTTTGCCCTATCTCAATTTTCAAAAATACAAAAATTTTAATTTTTTTCTAATTTAAATTATAATTTTATTGTAAAAACAATGATGATAACTTTGCATCCACAAAACTTTCACCGTGTTACTTTCTGTATGTTGTAAATATGATTTATATTTATGAAATATTTTCACCTCATAAATTAAAAAATGCGTTATTTTATCTAATAAAAGTTAATTCTGACACCATAAAATAATG